GAGTACGAAACTGGCTGTACATTACAAGGATAGTGAGGTCGAATCTGGTCGACATAAATTAGTGTATGCATTAATTTTTGCAAATCATACTTCCATCCGTTTCTATCCACCAAAAGAAGGAGGAGCAAGAAATTTTGGACATTTATCTTAATCCTTAATCATTACATAGTATAAAACAAAGTCGCTGTCGCAGTCTGTCCGTCACTATGTATGCTTAAATCTTTAAAAGTACGCGACGGATTTGTAGCGGTTTTTTAATAAATAGAGTGATTCAAGAGGAAGGTTTATATATATATATATATATATTATACATGTACACCCGTGCGAAACCGGGGCGAGTAGATAGTGAATAATAAAAAAATATCATTGGGCATTTCTTCTCTTTATAAACTACTAGCTGTGCCCGCGGTTTAACGTTAAATTTCGTAAAAAAATATAGTCTATGTGTTATTCTGATACATAAGCTGTATTACTGTAAAGTATCATCAAAATCAGTTCAGTAGTTTTTGCGTGCAAGAGTAACAAATATCCATACTTACAAACTTTCGCTTTTATAATATTACTAGTTTTTACTGCGGCTTCGCTCACATGTTTATTTTTAATAAAAAGTATTTTATGTACACAAACTATGAATGTACACCCATGCGAAGCCGGAGTGGATAGCTAGTTGACAATAAAATCTTAATAATGTTCACAAGTATAATACACTTTACAACTAACCAAAGGATAAGATACCTCTAAAACACGAATGAGAGCAGAGCGAGTTTTCCTTTATACAAAAAATTGTTCCGAGATCATATAATAAAGCGAGGAGATTTGAACAGCGATTACGCGTAATAACGCCGTAATAAATATCGCGAAGCCACTCCAGGTAGCCACTCGAATAGGCGGGGATCAAGTCATGAGCTTATAGCGATCGAAACGTACAATTATGTCATCTATAAACATAATTAAAAAGTAAGACTTGTTGCTGTCTGTATATGGAAGAATTGGTAGAAAAATAACTACTATACTAAGTGATATAAAACCGAAAGTACATATATCTATTTGTTATCTTTCATGACTAAAAATAGATAGAGATATTACAAGGGCAAACATTTTTTTTTATTAATAATGGGATAGCGCTTACCTCATCTGATGGTAAATGATGGCAGGACCAAGGATGTAGCGCACTTACCCAGATTATTTAATAGTATATATCTTGTATATACAAAACAGCACACAAAGTCTCGGGTAAAAGATATTAATATCTATGCGAAAATGTCTCTTGAATTTATTTAGTACTATGAAGACGTGCGTATGCTATCTTTTATCTAAATACCTAAAAAAAATAAACGAGGTCGCGGATCAAAGTTAGCAACAACTGAACTTGACTATTATTTATATCAATTTAACTTGATATATGAATATTTGAATGAATGATATTTGAATATTTGAATGAATTCGACTAATATTTCGTACAAAAATTGTATTAATTATGAAGTTTATTTGAATAATTCCAACAGTTACAAAATAATTTCAGATATTAACTTACATGCTCACCAACGAAAGCAAAATGGATGCGGTAATTTAAACGATTAGACTTAGAAAACTGTATGAAGGCTATTTTGTCTCTTATAAATAATAATAATCTCAGGACATTCGCACTGCGCCGTCTAGACCCAAGTTAAGCTAGCTAAAGCTTGTGCTATGGGTACTAGATAACTGATACATATACATAGATATATTTTTTTGTAAATACATACATATTATACATAGAAAACACCCAGACCGATACAAACAATCATACTTATGAATACAAATGTTTACCTAAATACCAAAAAAAATTAAACGAGGTCGCGTAACAAAGTTAGCAACAACTGAACTTGTCTATTATTTATATCAATTTAACTTGATATATGAATATTTGATAATGAATTCAATGAATATTTCGTACAAATATTGCATTAATTATGAAGTTTCTTTGAATACTTCCAACAGTTTCAAAATAATTTCATATATTAACTTACATGCTCACCAACGAAAGAAGTTTGACAGATGGCCGGTACATTATTTTTACATCAATTTTTGCAAATAATACACCACTATATTGTACACAAAACAATAATCGACACTTATTGCACTATTACATCACTAACCACGAATCGAAAATATAATATTTTTGTGATAAACTAATAAAATATATTTATTATTACGGCCATCTGAAAATGACAACTGTCGTTGGTGTTGCCAGTGAAAGAAAAATAATAAATACTAATACTATATTATATGTAAAACGAATACTATGATAATATACACTTTAGGGAAGGAATAGTCCTTCCCTAAAGTGTATATTATCATAGTATCATATTTGCTACTCTTTCTACAGAAACTATTGGACGGAAATGAAATGTTGTACACAAAAAGATGAAACTCTAAATGTATTATAATTATCATTGTACACAGTTTAACTGGTGCCTGTATTAAGCTAGTTTCTGTACTTAAAGATATCTGATTCCTGGGACACAAGCGTTGAGTTATTTATTCATTTTATCTACATTTATTTAATTTGTTGAGGATGATTTGAAATGTGAATATGTACAAATAAATTTAAAAAAAACTTAGGATACTTTTTTATCTGAATTTGCGCGGGCACTACTCCAGCACATATTAGAGAGTATAGTAATGAAGTACCGAAGTCTCTTGAAGTGATCTTAGCAAGGCCTATACTATTCAAGACTTCATATAAATTTATTTCCAACACTGTGAAGAAATCGTGATTGTTTTTAAGTTTTCTTTTTTTTAATAGGTTCGTTAGAACAGAGAAACAACATGTGACATTTATTATTATTTGACATTGGACATTGACTTTAATTTTTGTAATTTATATTGTAAAATTTTAAGTTAGATTAAAAAGGACTTGTATCCAGAGCCGTAAAACGTCAAACACACAAAATTTTTTAGTGTAGAATACTTTTTATACAAATTTGTGCGTGCAACACCTTGTTGGTCCTTTGTATAAAACCTCTTATGACTTAGACCATCTGTCACCTACCCATTCCTGGCTCAACGATAATTCAACCCGTAATTAGCACTCGTCGTATTCCAACAAAAATGTCCGCTTTTATTTTGTGCTCTCCTAAATTATTTTTTATTTATAACCCCGCCGTTTAATCTTAACAACGATCTCTCTCGCCCGCTCCTTTGTTTTGCGGATTTTTACATTTTAACCCTTATGTTAGTGATCTTAGTCTTATTAGCTTATCATAAATTAACGAGCCGATGAAAACTCGACTTTACGAGAACAGCTACACGGCAGTTAATTGTACAATGAGCTCGTACAGCTAAGAACCGTACCAGATGAAGGCAAATTGCTTACTTACTTACCGAGTCGTCCGCTGGTCCGTTGTGGACCGCTGGGTACGGGGCTCAAGCGTACGCTCCTTGCCCGGGCATTCTGCTGGGGTGAACCACTCCAACGTCGCTCGTTTACCGGCGGGCCTGCTGGCAGGCTCGAAGCCGGCTACTTTTCAGCAGCGGACTGTGGGCATCGTGTGACGGCATTCATAATGTCGCTCGCCGAGCCGGCTCAACGCCGCCACGTCACGTAAGTGATGCGATCACCCGATGGAGAGTAGGTCGCAGGCAAATGCGCGGATCTCTGTCACCAGGAGAACGAAGAGATACCATCATTAAAGCCACTGCAGTCAAAGAGGACAACGAAGAACCAAGCCACGACCACTCTGTCAAAATTGTACGACCAAAAAAAAGTAGAATTTAACAACCTTCACAGGAATCTACGGCCAAACCGAGGTAGTCTTTGTACAAAATCGTTTCCGTTCTATAGTCCCGCCTATTTCAGCTATTTGGTTGAGATATGGCAGTGAAATTGCAAAGATATAATAATCCTCTGAATTAACGCTTGAGGGATACCAGTGCCGTCACACGACGGCGATTGACGTGCTGTTGATTTATATAGGCGACGGTTACCACTTACCATCAGATGAACTGCTTTTTTAATATTGCAGTAAAATAATAAAAAATATGTTAGCAAACTGTTCAGCGTAAGCAAAGTCCTGTATTCGAATCTCTATTACACTAATGCTCTTGTCAAAGTAGAGTACTCTGTTTTCCAATTGTACATTTTAAGGATTCTTGTGGCTATACTATATCTATATGATACTATATTATTTTAGTTAGTACCAGTTTATATTTCACCAATAACAAATCAAATTATAGCATTGACGGCTGCAAGCTACCAGACTCTAATATATCCAGCACAATATGGAAACGTTACCTGCATTTACCATTATTATTATATTAATAGGTGTTGCGGACTATTTTTTATAACTTTTTTTATTATTTATGTTTTTTATAATAATTGTTTTTATATGACACAAGTCAATTACACAATTTTTTATGACTATACCTGTACCGATTTCTTTGCTCGTCGTCTTGGTCTCCATCCTTCACAATAAGTAAATCAAGAACTATGTACTTATATATAGGTACTACGTACAACGTAGTACCTAACAACGTGTATATATAATATATATATATATATATATTTAGAGGGAGTGCAGAATGCTAATATTTTTTTAACTTATGCTAAAAAACATTCCATACACTATTATATACTTCACATACATACGCATCTATACTCTTTTGTTCATTGTTAAAGTTTCTGGTCAAATGGAAAACATTAATATTATTTCTCTAGTCATACTGATTCTTCTGAATGTAATAATTGAATTTATAATTTCAATTCATTATGGTCAAATATCGAGCATCGGGCGACCAATAGTTTTGATTATTATTAGTCAACTTTTTAAAATACAGTTGTAGTTAAATGTAATATTCCACAGGTAGAGTTTGCAATGTTGCTTATCGAGTTTGCTTTTATAGTATAAATTATAATATTATTATTAGATCGCTCCCCATCTTTGATGGGGAGGCAGCCCGGGTGGCAAGTTAGATAAATACGTACTATTTGTTATTGTATGAACAAAACAACAAAAATATTATTTTAAATCAATTTATTATAATTTGTTAACTATATTTTTTATAACATAATACCCACTTAAGAAGTAAGTAAAGTAAGAAGAAGAATACACAATAATCATTTAAGAAGATAATACAATCAAAAATTTCACTAAAATAAAATTATCACAATTTTGAATCACTTTCACAGAATCTAACATCATCATCATCTGCTTCTTCCTTATCCCATTTATTTGGGGTTAGAATGTAACAAACAATTTTTAATTAAAAATCTGTTTTACCAAAGATAAAATTACCGGGAGCGTTCGCATCTTCAGATGTGAAATACTCCTTCCAAAGTTCCTGGAACTCAGCCCAGGACACGCTGCTCTTTCCTTGAGACATCTTTTGGAAGGCCGTCGCTGCTTCTGCCTTGTTGAGTCCAAACGAAGCGTAAACAGAAGAGAACTCTTCACTATCAATTGATCCGTCATTACTAGCATCTTCTAGTTGGAATATGAATTTAGAATAATCTGTCAGCCATTGCGGCGCTGCTGAAGGATTCTTCGTATACTCCTCCCAGGTTGAGACCCATTCATCAAAGGAGACTTCTCCATCTTTATTGGCATCTGCCCTACCTTGCAGTCCATCCCAAACCCTCAGCAAGGTGTCTCTAACTTCATTGTATTGCGCGTCTCCAGCGTTCCATCCTCTTGATTTTGTAATATTTGCAATTGCTAACTCGAAGTCTTTACTATCAATGTTTCCACTTCGATTTGTATCGAAGAAAACTGTGAATACATGCAGGAGTTTCTTCTTTCGGAAATCGGACACCATTTTGTTGAATGTACGCAAGTGCTTGTATTCACAATCGTTACAATACAAACTAATGTGACTGTTGAGTGACTTGCTGGTAGTTTATATAGACTTAGATTGTGTGTACACAGTACTTGAATGTTATCATTTGACGTAATAATTATACACGCATTGCAGATTTGTTGGTATTTTACTTGTAATTGCAAACAAGCTGACGTCTCACCTGAAGGTGAATGGCTACCGTTGCCACGAACTCGGTGGTCTAGCGGTTTAGTTCGCTTACCTCCGATCGTCGCGGATTCGATTCCTCGCATGATGCAAACATTTGTGTTCATGAGTATGATTGTTTGCATCAGTCTCGGAGTTTTCGGGCCCAAAATTAGGTACATCATGTATGTATTTACAAAAAAAAAATTCTAAGTATTCTATTAGTAGTCTAGTGACCATAACACTCGAAGTTCTGCTTAGCTTGAGACTAGATGGCGCTACATGAATATTTCAGGATTCATATTTTATTTTTTTAAATTTATTATAATGGAATGGTACATCCGCCTGAGCGGGTTTAGTGACGAGGCACCAGTGGAGGATGATAAGATGAGAATGAGGTCTGGTTATTTCACAAGATGTTTTCGCATGGGTTCCAGGGGGAACCGTGTGGAGGCAAACCTGACAAGATACATTGTTTGCAATGGGGTTATTGGTCCATATCACTAACAATCCCCTTCCGCTTATTATTATTATTATTACTATTTACTTGCAGCACTATACATAATACGTCATCAAAATTAAAATATCTTTATTCATGTGTAAGTCTATTACAGACTCTTATGTCAAAAACTATCGTCAATTAGAAGAGAATACGGGCTAAGAGTAAGAGACAAGAAACTCTGTTCTTATTATTTTAAAATGTGCTTGTCCATGTTAACAAAAATGCAGATTCAGTTTTAAATTCAAAATTAGGGAGAATAAAGTAACCACGAGCATATGCTATTGCGATTTTGTCAAAAGGAAATATTGTAATCAGTAGCTGTAGCCAGAACAGACCAGTCTCCTCAAGCAGCATCAGGTCACGAGTATGACGGATGAGCCAGCCATCCTTGCACTCAACTATATTAGAGGAAGCACATTGACCCGGCCCACCACTCCGCTACAAGTTTGAACTTTATAGCGAGCATCACTGTTTCAAATTACTGCGCTACGGAATTTATAATATTTACAGCATAGGTTATAACAATCACAGTTTTTTTTATGGATGATAATAGAATAGAGCGCAGGCGGGTGCTAACGGTTTACGCTGGCGGGGCACCAGTGGAGGATGATAAGATGAACATGAGGTCAGGTCAGTTAGTCCATCGTGACAAATTTATCTCGTTGGTTTCCAGGGGGAACCGCGTGGAGGTCAACCTGACATAGTACATTGCTAGTAATTGGGTCATGAGTCCACATTGCTAACCATCCTATAAGATACGTGTATTTACATAAGTTAATTTATTAGAATAGAAAATTATGGACATATGTCAAATTCAAATTCAAATTCAAAAATAGTTTATTCATGTAGGACATTTTAGCCGCTTATGAACGTCAAGTTTTTACATTAGAATTTTTTTATATATATTATTTTTTATTCTATATACCGAACTGGACGGTGTGCAGTTGAATTATATAGATCCAATTGTTTATTTACAATGTATATTTATATAGGTGTCTATATCATAACATGAAAACTATTGCCATACACGCTCGTCATTCAAGTAATCGTTAAGTGAGCAGGCTTTGCTCAGTAAATTTGATTTAACAGATGTTTTGAATTGATTTAAGGGTAATTCCAATATATTCTTTGGTGTTATTGTAAATTTTTATACCTATTCCCATAAAAGATCCATTAACTTTTTCTAAACGATACTTGGGGACAGCAAGTTTGTCTTTAAATCTAGTATTAATATTATGAATATTGCTGTTTTTTGGAAATAAAAGTAGAGCTACCTGTTTGGCGATTGAAATAGGTGTAACAGAGGTACTTGATTAGTTACCACTATGAGTTACCACTTACCATCCGTTCGTTTATTTACCATACCATGCAGATAAAAAAAGTCTTCAACGGCACTAATTTCTCACTGCTTATCTCATAAGTAATCTGGCGTCATAATTGATTATAATCTACAATACTTGTATCACGGCATTTCAGTATTTGACTAATATTATCTATAAATAGACAGCGGAGTGTACTCGGTAAATAAATGATATAATCTATGTACTACAATGCGACGCATTGCAGCCCGTTATCACTGTTACAGTGAATTGAAATTTTTAGGTACACTCAGCGGAATGTTGGTCCATTATTTCTTCAGTTCAAATTATATATATTATGACACAGGACCAATTTTTTTTATTTCTTTATTTATACACTTTATTGCACCAGTTACAAAAAAATGTAAATGTAAACATTTTTTCCCTGATATCTATTTAAAAAAATTAACCTATTATTTTTTTCTTTTCAGATTTAATCATATACAATTTATTATGCATATTGCATTTCATTACATGTAAAAATCAAACAAGACTTACACATTTTAAAATATCTAAGCTACAGCCGAAAATCGGGAATTTTTTGTAAAAAATAATTAAATTCATATATTTCTAAAACGGTTACATTTAGGATAGCGTCTCTCATAGTGAAATCTGTCAGGAATAATGTAAACTATAATAATAATATATATATGTGCCCAAGTTAAGCTAGCTAAAGCTTGTGTTATGGGTCCTAGACAACTGATACAAATACATAGATATTTTTTTTTTCGTAAATACATACATATTATACATAGAAAATACCCAGACCGATACAAACAATCATACTCATGAATACAAATGTTTGTGCCGTGCGAGCAATCGAACCCGCGACCATCGGTCGTAAAGCGGTAGACTGGACCGCTAGACCATATATATATGTGCCCGGGAATAGGTTATTCGCAGCAAGTATAGAATAATACAAATATTTACTATCTTTATGTACATAGTCTAAATATATATAACTCACAGGTGACTGACTGACTGACATAGTGATCTATGTCAGTCAGTCAGGCACAGCCCAATCCACGGGACGGATCGGGCTGAAATTTGGCATGCAGGTAGCTATTATGATGTAGGCATCCGCTAAGGAAGGATTTTGATCAATTCTACCCCCAAGGGGATAAAATAGGGGATGAAAGTTTGTATGAAACTTCGTCAATTTTAAACCGATCCGGCTGAGACTTGGCTTGCATAAAGCTAAGAAAGGATTTTGACAAATTTCACCCCTAAAGGGATAAATTAACACGAGCGAAGCTGCGAGCAAAAGCTAGTACTCTATAATTTGACAGAACAACTAAGGAATTGTTCATATACCTACAGCTATATTCAGTTGAATAATGTGAGTTGAGTTATCTAGTGGAGACCACTATCTACTAAGTAGTTGTGCTTACTGCCAACTTAGAGGTCCCCACAGTGTTGCCACCTCGATGTTATTACCACTAGAACTGGTGGATTTGACTTCCTTTAGCAAAATTTGTCTCAAGTGACTAGTACTAAATATCATATTAAACAACATATTAGAAAATTGATTGATAAATTACACTTACATATTATTTATTATTTTGACGACCTCGGTGGTCTAGCGGTCTAGTACACCGCTTTACCACCGTTGATCGCGGGTTCGATTCCTCGCACGGCACAATCATTTGTTTTCATGAGTACGATTGTTTGTATCAGTCTGGGTGTTGTCTATATATAATATGTATGTATTTACAAAAAAAATATATCTATGTATATATATCAGTTATCTAGTACCCAAAACTTGTGTTTTGGGTACTAGATAACTGAGAAGCTTTAGCTAGCTTAACTTGGGTCTAGATGGCGCTGTGTGAATTGTTCTGAGATTATTATAATTGGTATTATTTAATGTACGTTAAAACTTTAGTGGGTTTTTGATGGGTTTAAAAGGTCAAGCATGTGGATTTCCTCAGAAATCGTTGGCAACACTAGTGTCCTTACTCCGCCCCTTACGAGCCATGCCGGCTGACAGATAGCACGCATATGTCACGGTCTTCCACACGCGTCCTACGATCACCAAATCCCCGTCTCATAAAGCTTTGGATGTGACATTGTGGTAGAGTTTTGTCTTTGGAAGTTAGAAATAGAAAATAGTGCGTTGATAGATCACTACGTCAGTCACCTTTGAGTTATATATATATATATATTTAGATTCTAATTACAATTAAGAGTATTGATTGATTCGACTTATAACTACATTAAAAGCTTTAGAAGTAGGAGAGGTTATATATATATATATTTAGAAAATCATTTATTCAAATAAACTTACATTGAAGCACTTTTGAATAGTCATAACATTTTTTTTTTAATCTACCGCTCATTCGGAATGCTGTCTCATCATTGCAGACGCAGACGCAGACGCAGACGCAGACGCAGACGCAGACGCAGACGCAGACGCAGACGCAGACGCAGACGCAGACGCAGACGCAGACGCAGACGCAGACGCAGACGCAGAACTACATAGAAACAGAAATAGAAACAGAAATAAAAGCAGAAATAGAAATAGAAATAGAAATAGAAATAATCTTTATTCAAATAAACTCATTACAAGCACTTTTGAATAGTCATATTTTGATTCTACCACTCATTCGGAACGCAGATTCATTACAAGAAGAATGAGCAAGAAACTTGTGTGTTGCTCTTTTTAATAGATGTTTTTTATATATATATACATATAATTACAGTATAACAAGTAAGAGGCATGCGGTTACTGTAGTCTATGGAAAGATGCAAGCAAGTATAAATATAAAACCAACTGTAATAATATAAATTTAAATATGACTTTTGTTGTATATGCTTTCAATAGCTGAAAAAGCAAGCATCATCAATATGAGCTTACATAAGCTATTCCCTTATATATATTGTTATACCACCTACAAAAAAAAATGTACCCACACAGTTAGCAATAAATATGTATTCTATTCTGTTCTATTCTTGCTAGTCGTGCCCATGCGGACAACAACGCGGTAGATAGCTAGTCCTATTTATAAAAAAAAACTTCTAGAAATTCATTTTAAAAATATTTTGACCCTTAAGTGATATGTTTTATTGCTTTTCTTTGTTTGGAGCATTGTTTTATCTAGAACATTCAAAAGTGTCAACCAAACATCTAAATATTTACATAGCGCCATCTAGTACCAAGTTTTTTTTATGGATGATAATGGAATTGTGCACCCGCCTGCGCTAACGGTTTACGCTGGCGGGGCATCAGTGGAGGATGATAAGATGAGCATGAGGTCAGGTCAGTTAGCCCATCGTGACATATTCACCAAGAATTTATCACGATGGTTTCCAGGGGGAACCGCGTGGAGATCAACCTGACATGATCATTGTTAGCAATAAGATCATCAGTCCACATTACTAACAATCTCCTTTCCCCCCTCTAGTACTAAGTTAGGCTACCTATAGCTTGTGTTATGTGTACTAGATAACTGATAAATACATAGAAATTTAATTTCGTAAATATTATATATTACATATTATATATAGAAAACACCCAGACCAATACAAACAATCATGAATGTCATGCGAGGAATCGAACCGGCGATCATCGGAAGTAAGGCGGTATGCTAAACTGCTAGACAACCGAACCGTTGATAGAATACTATTATTTGCTGAATAATAATTTTTTTTTCTTTCTTTCTTTCTTTCTTTCTTTCTTTCTTTCTTTCTTTCTTTCTTCCTTTCTTTCTTTCTTTCTTTCTTTCTTGCACTTTAGTGGCGACTACAAGTAAGTATAACAATATCTAAATATGCAGCCAACTGTACCTATATAAGTTGACATTGTAATTTTTTTAATGATATTGTGAGTGCGTCAATAACTTGGTAATTGGTCTATGATTATCATAATAGTGTTTCATTTACACTCATAAAATGATATCTCGACTGATTAGCGTATTAACTGACTAATCTCGCACACCTTAACTCACAAGAAATATATAGCGATTATTTTTACTTCTATAATTAAAAAATACTATACATTCTTATCTCTGGACAATACCTAATAATATAGAGCGCATTGTTTATATCTTTAGTTAAAATAAATAATAATCATAATAATAAAGTACAATTTATTCTCTCTCTCTCTCTCTCTCTCTCTCTCTCTCTCTCTCTCTCTCTCTCTCTGATATACTTATTATGTTTGTATCGGTCTGAGTGTATTTTATATATATATACAATATCTAAATATGCAGCAAACGTTGTTTTGCCTATATAATAAACAAAAAAATTTTTTAATGATTCTGTGAGTGCTCAATAACTCACAAAATTTCTATGATTATCATAATAGTGTTTCATTTAACGATAAAATGATGACACGACTAATTTTATATATAAGCACACCTTAACTCACGGAAATATATACGATTATTTTTACTTCTTAAAAAAAAAAAAAATCTTATTTCTGGACACCCCTAATAATATAGAGCGCATTGTTTATATCTTTAGTTAAAATAAATAATAATCATAATAATAAAGTACAATTTATTCAACGTCATCTAGTCCCAAGAAAAACACAGTTTGTATTATGGGTACTAGACAACTGATATACTTATTATGTTTGTATCGGTCTGAGTGTATTTTATATATATATACTAGCTGTTCCGGCAAACGTTGTTTTGCCTTAGAATAAAAAAATTAAGGGTGGAACCCACTACATTTGGGGGATAAAAAAAAATAGATGTTGGCAAATTCTCAGACCTACTCAATACGCTCACAAAATTTCATGAGAATCGGTCAAGCCGTTTCGGAGGAGTATGGGAACGAAAACTGTGACACGAGAATTTTATATATAAGATATATGTTTTATTTAAAACGGCTTCAAAATCCATTGGTGTACATGTATTAGATAGATAGATAGATAAAAATCTTTATTCGTATCCCGATAACAAAGATATATATATAAAATTCAAATAACACATAAGAATAGTAAATAATTATAAAAAAAAAAAAATACAACACATAATACTTTAACTAATAATAAACTACATTATACGTTATTTATTTATTAATATTATATATTATCTAATATTTTCTCTTGTAAATACATACATAGAAAACATCCAGACCGACAGATACAATTATACTCATGAATACAAATGTTTGCACCTTACGATTTGAACCCGTGAGCATCGGAAGTAAAGCGGTGCGCTAAATCGCTAGACCACCGAGCCGTAAAAAAATATTGTATACTAGCTATTCTAGTTATTCAATTCTGACTTGACATATTTCTATTTAACTTTGGTAAATTTTTATTATTCTTTTATTTTTATATTATATTGACATCCATAAAATTGTTATATGGGGCCTGACCAAAATAAATCAATTTAAGTTAAACAGAAATGTAAAAGATTAACATAATAAGAACATGGAAAGAAAAAAAAATACTAGCTGTTCCCGCGACTTCGTCCGCGTAGAATTTAACTTTAGTTTTCTAAAATAAAAGCAGCCTAAGTTACTCTTTATTACATCAGCTATCTGCCAGAAAAAGTCCCGTCAAAATCGGTCCAGCGATTTCTGAGATTAAACGGAACAAACAGACTTGAAACTTGTAAAAAATATTGTTTTGGTGTATGTACAGTATTTATATTCGTATGAATGTACGGTTATTTCGATATTACAAACAGACACTCCAATTTTAATTATATGTATAGATAAAAATATATATAATAAAAATAAGATGTTCTTATATTTGACTCGGTCATTCTTTCTCAGGTCATTCTTTCTGCGTAAACCTGAAAACCACATTGTGAGAAAGTGCCTTTCCATGGCTACAACAAAAAGAGGACGAGGCAGGCCACCAACTACCTGGTTGACAAATGTCCATAGGGACATGAAGGAGTTGGGCCTGTCAAATGACGATGCTTACCAGCGAAATGTATGGCGCCCCAGGATTAGAAAAGCCGACCCCGAGTAACGGGAAGAGGCGAGGATGAAGAAAGAAGGTCATTCTTACTCAGCTTCCATAATTAAGCTGAACATCAGCTAACCGTGATAGTGGCGCTTGAAACGGTGTCGAAATATCGGCAACTCTATAAAACGAATAAAATTTTAAAAAAATATTTATTTTTTTAATGAGGATTACATCCATATTTTGTTAGCAAACATATAAAACTATGTTAGTAACTTATAATATACAGATACAGAGATATATACACTAAGTTTATATATCTGTGCCCACGTCCGGAAGCACTGGGTCCGCAATGCAATGCATATCCAGTGCCTCTGGAGCGGACAATCAGATATTTGCAATAGTTGTTAGGATGCTGTTTGCTCTCCCTCGAATACAAGCAAGCAAATATCTCTGATATTGCAAATAAAAAACTTATCCTAAATTTCCATATAAACGGTAATAGGCGTATGCTTTTTATATCTTCATGCACATTCTGATGAAATAAATTAAATCTAAATATATATAACTCAAAGGTGACTGACATAGTGATCTATCAACGCACAGCCCAAACCACTGGACGGATCGGGCTGAAATTTGACATGCAGGTAGATGTTATGACGTAGGCATCCGCTAAGAAAGGATTTTGATTAATTCTACCCCAAAAGGGATACAATAAGGGATGAAAGTTTATATGAAACTTTGTCAATTTTAAAACAATCGGGCTGAGACTTTGCATGTATAAAGCTACTATGACATAGGCATCCCTTAAGAATGGATTTTGATAAATTCCACCCTAAGTGGATAAATTAACGCGAGCGAAGCCGCGGGCAAAAGCTAGTTCTATATAAATAAATGATAAAAAATCACTATCTAAATAAGTTGATATTATAATTATAATTTATTGTTGAGCGAGGCTTATGGCAATGAAAACAGTAGAATCTAAGGTTAATATTCTTGTAATACTAAATACATGACAAAAATTTAATATATAATAAAACAATGTTTTCAGCATTGTTTTTATTTTCAACTACTACGCGATAATTTTTAGTGTTCATTATGTTTCAGGATTATTTAATTTAGATACCATCATACCAATAATATCGAATAACAGCAGTTTTCTCCTCGAAAAAATATTACCAACTAATATTATTCTCATAACACCAGTTCTTTATAGTTGTTGTTTTTATAATAGTTGTTAGTATAGTTTCTTTATATTTTGTACTAGCTACCCGCCGCATCTTCGCCCGGGTGTAGATGTATTTATATGTATATATAAATCTTCCTCTTGAATCACTCTATCTATTAAAAATACCCCTTCAAATACGTTGCGTAGTTTTAAAGATTTAAGCATATATAGGGACAGACAGCGACAGCGACTTTGTTTTATACTATGTAATGATAATGACGCTTTGTAAATACTGTACTTTCTACATCAATTTTAAATAGCAAAATGTGAGTAAACACAATATTACCCTTAGTACACAATATAAATCTTATAGTTTTGTAATTCGGAAAATTGAGCAGTCTACGAGACACAAAATTGTAAGATTTTGTATGTTTCTAAAA